GTTTGATGAGATGCACATAAAAAAATTGACAGAATGGGACAAAAACACTCATTATTGGAAAGCTCTGGTTGACATGGGTGGTCAGTTAAGAGAATGCAATGAAAAAGATAAAAAAGCACAGGCTGGAAAAGCTCTAGTTTTCATGCTAGTTAACATAAATGGAAACTTTAAAGTTCCTATTGCTTATTATTTGATTGATTTTTTATCTGGATCAGAAAAATCGGTATTACTGAGAGACTTATTACGTACATTAGATAATAATGGTATAAATGTGTGCAGTTTTACATTTGACGGCGATGGCAGTCATAAAACTGCTTGCGAATTTCTAGGCACGAATTTAAACTATACAGACAAAGCAAATTTCAAACCCTTTTTTCCACATCTATGTTTTTCTCAGCCAATTTATATATCTAACGACGCGTGTCACTGTTTGAAGCTTGTCCGTTATTATTTTGAGTTGAAAGATACAATAACTTACGATGGAAAGGCTATAGGTTGGAAATACATTCGTTTATTACATGCTAAGCAAGAAAAAGAAAAGTTTCACTTGGCTTTCAAAATTCGCAGTAGGCATGTTGATTTCATTAATGAAAAGATAAAAGTCTTTTTGGCTGCACAAGTATCAAGTACTATTATTGTAACAGCTTTACAGTTACTTGAATACAACTCAAAAGATCCTAATTTTACAAATGCTACAGCTACTACTACTTTTTTTCCAAAATATCGATACCATGTTTAATGTCTTGAACGTCAGAATGCAAAAGTCAAAAGCACCAAATAAATGTGGGATAGATAAAAGCTTATTACCAAAACTAAAGGAAACAATTTATTCGTGTATTGATAATATTGAAAATTCGTATATTGATGGACTAGTGAAAGAAAAGAAAAACAAAAATAGTGCATTAAACAGTACATATAAAACCATTACCAAATCAGTTGTTCATTGTAAGTCAGTTAGTACAGGATTTGTTGGTTTCATCATTAGCTTGAAAAACTTGTAATAAATTGCAAAACAATTACTCGAGAGCAATTGTATCGAATATTTTTTAAGCTACAAACTGTCGCAGGATCACGTAGAAAAGTTTTTTTCTAGTATAAGACGAATGAACGGGTTTAATAACAACCCCACAGTGACTCAGTACTTGTCAGCGATTAGAAAGTTATTGTCTAATAAGCTCGATGTGAACGTGTCTACATCTGCAAACTGTTCACCTCTAGATCGCACTTTACTTTTATCTACAGAGAGCTTTGAACTTGGAAACGTGGAATCGTATAGCAATGATGTAAAGAACAAGAGTGTAACCAAATACACAACTAAGGTAAAATTGAATGTAAAAGATGTTGCTCTTACCCTCAAAGCAAATCAGCCTTATTTCGATCATGATTACTGTAAATCATCAAAGTGGGATCCTTCTGTGTACACTGATAAAATAATCAAACATACGGCAGGTAGTATAATTTATGTAATACAAAAACAAGAAAGCTGCCAGAAATGTTGAGATTTGATTGATGGGTCCAATGGCCCAAACAAGTTTCAGTTGTCTGTTCTAAAAAATCGTAACAGCTTGCATTTTGCTGCAGAAGATGTTTTTATTATTTGCATGAAAACAGAAGAAGCAATCAGAAAGAAGACCAACTTATTTGATAACGATATTAATAATTATTTAGTAAAAGACGTACTAAAAAATCTTTCAAAGAAAATTTTTAGTGATTTACATTTTTCTAATCATTCAGATCATCGTAGTAAATTAATTTTTTCAATCATACAAAAATATATAGATATTCGATTAAAACATGAGAGTACCATTGTTAAAGTTAATAATAATAAAAGAGTGCGCATGTTTCGTAACAAATTAACAATATTTTAAGGACAATTATAGTACGTTACTCACTATTGTAAAATCTCACATGCAATAAGTCATGTTTATATTATTTATGTAAGAAAATTCTAATCTATTAATTAAATTGCAGTGAATCAAAACTATTGAATTACATGTGTTCGTTATCTTCTTTCTTAATTTTATTCTGAATTCCCAAATATATATTAATTTAACACCTGTCAAATGTGTCTTCTGCTGCAGTGCTGCATTGCTATACTCATACATACACATATACACACTGTAATATATACAGTAATAACGAATTTAGGGATATCAGCGGGGTGTAGGTCGGGGAGATTGGAACAGCCAATTAGAAGTGGTGGCATGGAATGCGTTCTCTCTCGCACCTTCTGACGCTGCCACTTCCACGCCAGTATAGCAGTCACGCACTCTATTCATTATACCTCTATAATTACGAATACGTGTGACTACATAGTCAGCTGAATAAAGCTTATTACTTACCTAAGCATTCTTCACCGCACCTGCGAGGATTCATTTCAGCATCATCAAAATTTTGAAGAAAAACTAATTAACAGTGTTAAGTACAAACAGTGGATTACAACTAAAAGAACTTTATGACAAGCCTTAATATATAGCGTTGATGAATTTTGAGAATTTTCAAGTAACGGTTTGAGACAGTTATGCCTTTATAATTCAAAATTCTATTCAAGGTATCCATTGGAATAATGATTAGGTAAAAATATATTATTTTTTAATCTATTATAAAGATAACAAAGATAAGTTAAAAATCAAAAAATTTGGTTTCCATTTCTAAATGTTCACGTTACGATACTATTACAGTTTATATCTTTCAAAGACAACTCATGAAAATTATCAAAACAAATTTCAAAGTCATCAATAAAATAATAATATAATTTGTCTGATGGTGCAAGTGAACAATATAAAAACAAAAAATTTTTAATAAATCTTACTTATTATGTGGCTAATTTTTAAATAGCAGCTTAGTGGCATCTTTATCTAATCTTATACGGTTAAGGACCATGAGACGGAGTAGGTAAAACACTAAAACGACTTGCTGCTAGAGCTATCCTGTAAAGAGTAAATCATCCTATCCACACACTAGAACAGTTGTTCAACTGGGCGTCTGATGCTCGAACAAATTTAACATGTCGATATTAGACTAATACTAATTATGAAGAAGAAAAAGGAGGACTATAAACGCGTTTTTAGAAAACTATAACGATAAAATTGTCGAACTGTATAACAAAAAAACTTGTCACTTTAATGTATCACTCGATAGTTCAAGTTTCTCATATATATATATACGCATACATGTATACCCAGGTATGTGAAATTGTTTCGATGGTAGTAAGCATAATCTAATCAATTTTTTTTATTGTAAGTAAGTGTTTAATAATTTACACTTATTATGCAACGATTTTTCGTAGAAAACTTTATATTTTTTTATTTTCTACCATGAAATATCCTTAAATGGTAATATAAAGCTTAAAATAAATATTTAGAAAATATGGACTTTCTAAAATTTATAAGGTCTAAATAAAGAAAAAAACAAATGACGAAACCCAGACCTTAATATTTTGTGATAATCATTAATTACTAAAAAAATTTGCTAAGGCCTATCAAAGACTTTTCATTATATTTTAAAATATGATCGATTATTGAAGTGTGGACTTTTACGTATACATAAATACACCTTTGCATTTTTAAATGTTGGAATTATGATAGCATTTTTTATATCTACAAACAAAAATTTATGTAAATCGATTAAGGAAACCTTAAGTCGTGACAAACAATGCACGCAAACACACGCGTACGCACGCATACATGTGTACACAGACACCTACGAGAGATTACTTTATAAAGATTATAAAATCCAAGAAAAACGATGTCACGTTATCTTATTCTGAGATTTTCAATCTATTACGAAGCTCCCTTAAAAGTAAACAAAAGCAGAAAAAATTGTTTTCATAAAAAATTGATTTATATTATGTTATGTTATAATGTGATTTGGCATCTGTTGCAAAGAGTCCAGTGTCTAAAAGAAAAACTTATGGAAAAAGGGTACGGAAAATAAGTATGTAATAATTTATTTACGCAAAAAAACATGCGTGTAAAAATTCGTATACAATATATTAAGCTGATGTATAGGCATCCCTTAGCACATTAAAATTTTTCTTTTTTTTATGATCCTTATTATTATTATTTTTTTAAATTTTGGTTGAGCTTCAAAGAAAAGATTGGTTAAAGTGTCTCCTTACCACTGCATAGCACAAAATTTGTATGGATTTATAAATTTGCCTGATTTAGTTTGATAATAAAAAGATAGTTTAATGGAGAAAAAAAATCTTTGATAAAACAGAAAAAAATTGTCATACAAAATTTACTATATTGTAAAATATAATATACTTTACAATATAAATTACTATATAGTGAAAATTTACAAAACTATATTGCATTTAAGTGTGTAGTTTAATTTTAAAATCATACAATAAACATAAATCTTTTTGGTATCTTATCCCATTCCTATTTTTTGAAGCTTTTTCGACTCTTTGGACAATTTAATATAATGTCACCATGAGACATGTTTAAAAATATCTGATGTATAGTAAGTCAGATGCAATAGTCTATAAGGAAATATCGGCTTTTTGTGGTTTCAAGAATCCTTAAGTAAGTAATTTCATCTGTGTCATTAAGCATTAAATATTTAAAAAAATTTTTCAAGGTAACATTATATTAAATTGTCTAAAGAAAACAACATGATTTTAAAAATTAAAACAAGTTAAAAAGATCAAATAAGATTATTGTCTTTCAAGTGCGATTGTAAAATTTAAAGTTATACACAAATGCAAAGTAGTAAATTTTATTATAGAATTATTTATAAAGTACAACTTTCTTGTACTACTCTATCCTGATAATAGAAAATTCTGTGGTATACAGTAGTAGGGAGATACCTTAGGTATAAACTTTGAAAAAATGACGTAAACATACATTATAGACTTGATGTACATATGTGGTTTTCTATTAATAATGCAGAAAAGCAAACCAGTGAATATGTGAAGTTATTTGATGTTCGTACAATAAAGTTTTCAAAGTTGAGAATGCGTTTGAGATGTGTTTTTTTAAATAGTAACTATTTACCTCGTGCATTTCCAGTGTAAACTTCTCATGTTCTTTTTTTTGAGCATCATTAGGATTTTGAATTATCGTTTTATCACCGTCGATTTTAAACTGTTTCAGTTGATGGCTTAACATTCCCTCTATTGGTCTACACTTGAATACGTCACAAATCTTTCCCACAGTATCTGTAACTGAGTATGTCTAAAAAATATGAAGAGCATTATATAATTAATATAAGAATGAATGTATTTGAATATTCTCAAAAATTATATATCAGTAATGTCATATATGAAAAGATCCAAAAATTTGTTATTCATTCTATACCGGAATTTCATTAATTTTTTTTATGCATAAGAATATAATTTTTCACTTTTTTTAAGTTTCACAATCTTCTGCAAGACAGTAAATAACACTCGAATTCAAACCTAAACAAAGTTGAATGAGGTATTATTAGAGTCTATACAAGTTCTGACAATCATTCAACAGTGAGAGAATTTTTCTGATTCTGAAGTATTGGTTAAAAGTTATACAGTGACGTCAAAAGTCGAAATTGTATGAGACACCTATTTTGACTTAAATTTGGACTGTTAATTTTTCTCAAGAAAATTTTCAGCAGACGATCTACATAGTTTGCAATAAATAACGTCATAAAGGTACACTACTTTTTGCGCATAAAATTTTACAATTTTTTCACCATTCTAAAATTAAAAGAAAAAAATTTTAATATTTGATGATAACGCAGACTAAAAAAAGTGATAAGGTACACACTAGTAAACATATTTTCTTCATGTATTTTATTGTGCTAAATCGGAATCCAGTATCTAAATTACTCCGTCACGTCATAATTTTAACTCAACCTGAAGAATAATATCGTTTACAAAGATTAGTTTTCTATGCGAGAGTTCTGAGATCTCTTATCTTGTGTACTTTTGTGTGCCACACTATAGTTCAAGTACATCATATTTCATACCTAAGCTCAAAAAAGAACAAAATGCAATTGTGGCATCTTTAGTCAGCACGAGCTAATATTTAATGCCTATTTGTACGTTACTAGATCTGGAATTAGTAGTAAAACAATAACTTCTTTTCCTTTCACTTGACTTAAGATTTTGTAGAAGTCGTTTGTGCGTTATGTTAGAATATCTATTATTATAACAGGGTTTCTTCACTTTACTGTCAAAACTTTGCTTACAGATGTCAAAAATCCATTATACTCGAAATCTACTTTATTGCATATAAATCGTTCAATTTGTAACAACTATATTATTTACTGCTAATTTTTTTTATCTACGCTATATATGCACCTCCTTATATTTGTAGATTTATTACAGGAAAAGACCTTTGCAAGCCTTTTATTTTCTTAAATAAATGTTTTGTCTCAAAACTCTATCACATACGACGACTTATTAACACATACAAAAACTTCTCTTACTTCAATTCACTTTTTTTGTCATCAAATACTCTGATGTTTAAAAATCTTGCTTTATTACTTATTGAAAGTGATCTAGCAGTAATTTTCCTAACAACTATACTTTGTCCCATCAAAAAATTCTACCTTAAAAGCTAGAGTAGTTCTATTTAAATAATCAAACAACAAATTTTTCCTTGCAGCTTCTCGTTCAAGTTTGCTTTTACTTAGAGTCAAAAATCGTTTTTGATTCCAAGGTTTTTTTTCCTTTGATTTCTTTTAGTGTTGTTCAAATTAGAACGTCAGTATTAAAAATTATCAACTTTTTTAGTTATTTCCACGTCCTATTTTTTAACTAATTTTTTAAAATTTGCTACTTGACTATAAATTAAAGTGTATTTTCTAACAATAAGCTTTTCCTTTCTTATGAATTTTTTGATAAGTAATTTACATATTTGTTAGCACATATCTTTTTACTCTAATAAAATACTGTCAGTATGGGATAATACCATAATTTTTTTTGTTAGAGTTATATTTTAGTATTTTCTACCATGATATTACCATTACTTTTTTTAAATTGTTCCTCTTAATTATTTACATGAATGCAATTCAACCGGCTTTAACTGTCTAACAATCCTTTATAGCTTTATTGCTGACCCTTACATACTTCCACCTTTACATAAATATTTATGATAAAAGGTTTTTGATAAAATACCAGTTTAATTTTTTTCATTTATGTTTTCTTATTTAATATTTTAAAAGCAGTTTTAACGTTAAAAAAAGTCGTGTGTGCTATCTTTGGGCAAAAGGCAAAACTAACATGATATCCATGATGATGAGATTGACAAAAAAGTAGTAGCTTACTACTTCGTACAAGCCACCATGTTTAACTTCATTCGATGTCCTCACAGTTTACTTCCTACTGTTTGTCTTATAGTATAACAAAATTAAAGTGTGTTTGTACCTATTAACAAATTTTATGCTTTTTCACACTATTAAAGAAATCGATGCAAGTCATGTCTTTTTCAGAACAGGTTTTTATTCAAAGATACATTTTTAAGACACCAGAAAATGCACCAACATATTTAGTATTGAAAACCGCAGTCATTTTCAACAGTGCATACAAATATTTCATAATAAATGGTTTACTCACTTCGATTTTCTGTATTCAATGGTGGGCTTAAAAACTGTTTACGTTCGTGTAAGGTCGTAAGATATAAACATTTGTTTGTAATTGTACTTAAAAACAGTTGTACATTACAAAAGATAAAATTTTCAAGATTCTTTAACAAATTTAATTGCTTACAATTGTTGTTACAATAGTACTTTCAAAAGTAGGCGCTCGCCCCTTTCGAACCTACTTTAGATGGCACTGAGTACCTTGTTTTATGGAAATTAATGGCTTCAAGGGCTTGACGTTATAACTGGTTGCTGGGCAAGCCTAGAGCTGCTGAGTTTAGAACGAGATCGAGGACCAGAAATTATGGAGCATTGCAACAATAACGTGATTTATATTCTTTGTGAACACAAGGTTAAGAGGTACCCTAGAGAAGAGAGCGAGAGTGAAGATGCAGTTGAAAAGGGAGATCTCTTACTTTCAGAGAACGCAAAAAGGTTTTGGACGGTAAAATTTTAGAGGCATTTCGATATAAGTATAACGCTGAAGAGTAACATATAGATGTTTGCACGCCAAATTGTTATAAAACTATTTAAATCAAACAATTTGTTCCAAAGACGATTGTAATATAAACACGTTAGCGCAAAATACAAAAATATTGAGTATCGTTACAAAATTAACTTTGATCGTAAAATACGTTTTTAACATTGACTTAAAATACAGTTAGTATTTTACAAAAGTCATATGTCAGCTAATCAATTAAAATTCAGTATCATCGATAATAAAGGCATTAGTTAGGTTCACAACTAGTGACACAAACAGTAAAACTGATATTACAATATAAGTTTTCTCATTAAATAAACGAAGACTGGTAAAGCTAATAAAACATACTAATCAGGCTTGACCAAGAGACAAAGTAAAAAAAAATGAGAGTAAGAATTATTTATAACAAATTTGAAAAGCTGTGAATCAAGCTCTGTTTTTATTTTGATAGGTTTTCAAAATACATAGTGACTCTAGAGACCAGGCGATAAGAGAAAATCCAGATCAGGTTACTGAGGCCTTCCAGAATGAAGTAAGCTGGCTTAAGTTGCTCAGTGGAGACTGCTTCATAAGTGCCATTGATATCGTTTTTGTAGTTCAAGTCTGAAATTCGCTCAATGTCTTCGAAAGGGACACAGTAAAGTCTTTTAAGAGTCTTAGCAGCCAGAGAGCAACGAAAAACATGCTCATGAGCACCGCTATAAAAGATGCATCGGAACTTTGCTGATCCAAATAAGATAAAGATACACACACACACACACACACACACACACACACACACACACACACACACACACACACACACACACCAATATTATAAATATCTTTCTTATTAATATTTATAAACATAAATCTTTGGTTATGCGAAATCTTGGCTTAATGTGATGCTGACACGATAAACACGGTAAAATAGAAATTATTATTCCAATGACTCTGTGTTGAAATAAACTATCAAGTTTTTATTATGTTAAGCAAATTGTGGTAGTTACCCACTTCCGATCAATGTAAGTGTACTACAAATATTGTAAGCATAATTAAAATTATCTTGTTTAGAAAGCCTTCAACGCATTTCATTTGATTACCTGATATACTTATAGTAATTCACACTTCGTAAACAACGCAGGTACTTATACAAATCCCGACAAGCGAGAGTTACATATATATATATATATGTAAGCTTGAGCGTAGCTAAGCTTGGCTTTGTTGTTGGTAGTTCTGGTAGGAGAGAGTGAGTGAGTAATGTAACTCCGAGCTGTGAGCCTCGTATGATTTGTTGTGATTGTAGTTTTGTAGAGGAGGTTTTGCTATCGACAATTATATTGATTCAGGTTGGTGTAAAGTGTGCGGTTTAATTGTAATATTTTATTTAGCTTTGCTAACATGTACATATTGTTTTTCATAATACAGTTATTTTACTGCATCTTATTTGTTTTGCTTCAAACCTTCAAAACGACCAATCCAAAATTTAAGCTCTTTAAATTTGTGGCTTACAAATCAATATAATGGAGATGAAAGCAAAATTTTTGTTTGTTTCGGAGGCTAGAGCTGATAATAGGAGTACTATTGTAAAGGTGAAGAAGATTCAGCTGCAGGATCAAGAGGAGAGTTTTTTGTTTCCAGTTGATAAGCAGACTAGTGCTCATCATGCTAGGCTTTTCGATATGGCAGTGGTAAAAAATGTCGTTAAAAGTTTTAAAATTAGAAATAAATATCGTAATGTGTTGTTGACATTATCTAACGAACTTAAAGATATACACTTAGATAGCGAAGGTAATGTTGTTTTGTTTGATGAATATCTTGAAGAGGCTAGTTCGGATGTAAACAATGAGGTGACTGTTAATAAACCGAATGTTGATCAATCGAAAAAGATAGGGATAGAGGAATTTGTTCCTGATTGAAAAGTTTAACGGTGATAATTTGAATGCTGGAGTGTAGATAACATTATTTGTTCAGGAGTGTGTCAGGATTAGAGTGGATAAGAATAGATATGTTGAGTTTTTAAGATTATTTTTGGAAGGACCAGCATTGGACTGGTATTTTGTATTTATTAGACAAAATTCGATAATAAATTGGGAAGCGTGGAATAATTCCTTCATTGACACTTTTAATGTGCAGTCCTGGACAGATGTTGCG